CCGCCGCCGCCGCCGCCGCCGCCGCCGCCGCCGCCGCCGCCGCCACCGCCAGGAGAGGTGACTGTGGCCGCCGCAGAAGATGAAGACGAAGAGACGATGGGCTCCGGCCGGAACAGAGTTGGCCCAGAGGACGCCGGGGGTCCGATGGACTGAGCCGGAGAAGAGGTCGCGGAGGATGTGGAGGTGGTGGTGCCCGAGGAGGAAGCAGACGTGGAGATCGGGGGCTGAGGGGGGACCAGCTGGGTTGGAGGGATCAAAGCCGCCGGCACTGCCATGGTCACATATAAGGGGAAACAGAAGGAGAAGCGAGGTGGGAAAAAGTTGCCACACACCCCCCAGAGGGAAGGGGAAGAAAGGGGGGAGAAGGAGCGAGGGGGGCAGCGACGGCAACAACTCTAGGAGAGGACTCCGGCAGGAGAGAGAGAGAGAAGGGAGAGAAGGAGGTGAGGGTAGGAAAGAGTGAGCGCAAGAGGGGCGAGCTCGAGAGGCGCTCGAAAGAGAAACGCACAAAAGTGTCCCGTAAGTCGAAAGGCGAGTCCTCTCCCCGCTGGGCTCGCGGACTGCTCTGGGGGGCGGGGGCGGGGAGGGTCGGCTGATGGAGTGTGGGTCCCGCGCCAGCACAAAGTTAGGATGAAGGTGAAAAGGCGGAGGACTGAGGGACTGGGGTTCTCCCCGGCAAGTACATTGATCAAAGATTGAGAGGGGAATGACAGAGAGAAAATGAGCTGAAAGTGCAGGCTGCCGGCTGGACGAGTTGTTGTTGTCACACGGTGCAGAGGGGAGGAGCTCCGGAAACTTGAAATACCCTTTGAAGCCGCAAAAACCCCACTCACTAGTATTAACCCAAATTATCCAACCAGGAACTCGGAGCACAGACTCCGGGAGCGCGAGACTGAGGGAGAGAGCGAGCGTGCTAGGGAAGGAGGAGGGGAGGGGGAGGGTTAGGAAAGAAAGGGTGGGAGGGAAGCCGAGGACAAGCTGGGGCGCACTAGAGGAGATCCGAAAGGAGAGAGACGGCCATCCAGTTCTCCAGCTACTACCGTTACACGGCGTGCTTAGTATTCCATCTTCCGCCAAGAATCGTACTTTTGGCCCCCCCAAAGGTTCTGAGTTATCGCCCGCCGACTGAAAGAACAGCCAAGGCGCTCCTAGTTCTCCTTCAAGGATTTAGAACGAATCTCCGCGCCTTTCTGCAAGGAGTTACAAATGAACCCCCCCCCCAACTCAGGCATGTTGAGGAATTATTTTGAGGAAAATTCACATGTAAGCAGTGAGTTTTTAATGTATCCGATAGTGTTCACCCCCCATGTTAAAAATATTTCTATAAAGATAGGAAATTTTTCAGGATAGTTTTTAAGTTGTGGGAAGAAAGTCCTTTAGGAATAATGGAGTGCCCCGACTTTTCTAAGCCCAAACTCTGATTCACCTGTCTAGCACAGTAGCCACCAAGCTCATATCCTTTAGGACTCAAGGCTAGTTGTTCGAATATTATTTAAGTAAAACAACAATGACAACAATTGTGGGTTTGTTTGTTTGTTTCATATTTGGAAAGTACTATCTTTGGGGAATGTCTTTTTGTCAGTGAGAATGTGTTTTGTAAATAATGAGCAAGACAGAAACTAAGCTCCCTGGTTGACTTGTAAAGACAGAAAGGGTTGTTGTGGCTTTGAACTGCATGAGACGCTTTCGACTGACTTTCCCTTGTCAGCCCTTTCCTTTAGTCTTTCTCTTTTCTAACTTGTTGCATGGACATATTTATCCAGGAATTTGTGACCAACATATGATCTGAGCATAAGGCAGGTCTGTTGCTTCTATCTCTAGGAATCTTGAGTAGTTAGGCTTTGAACCTGTCTGCACATGTTCAGAGACTTCATATGAAGTGAAACAAAGACTTAACATTTGACAGATTTTAAAATTAAACTATTAGTAGCAGGTTGATAGTTTAAGAGATTTCATAATCAAGTTTTTGCCAATTTGGCACTGAAATCATTATGATTTTTCTGTTTATCATTTTAGTCTTTTAAACTCTTTGAGGTTTAATGTCAAAAGGTACAAGAACCCTCTACAAGGAATTTTGACATTATTGACTAATTAGTCTTTCATACTAAACTTTTTGGGACACAATAGCTATATCAGGAAGCTTTCTTACATGATAAGAAATCAGATAATTATTGCAGAACAGTAAACAAACATCTAGAAAGATAGATGAACTTTCAAAGATGTTGGGCCTAGTTAGCCAATATATTTTCATATACTGAGATAATGTTTATTAAATTTTCAATTTTCAATCCTTACTTCACCTAAAAGTAGGAATCCAATATATATTACAAACTTCATAAGACTTTTTGTGTTTATTCATGTTTTAGAAAAAATCATCATTTTTTTAAACTGCCAAAATACTGTGTTTGTGAAGGGAAGGAAAGAAGAGTTAAACTCTAAAAAACTAAATTTTATTTTTGAATTGCATTCCTAACTTTAATAAGCTCATATATACCTTTTAAATGCTAAAGTGCCTATCGATTTAAACCTAGTCCCACAAATGGAAAAGGGAGTTAATGCCACAAACCTGCCCTTCCACTCTCATTCTTCCGTTTCCTTAAACTATCACTCATCCAAAATCTGCCACACTCTGAAGTCACAGACAGGAAGCACAGCACTGATGCAGACCAAGCCATAATCCCACTCTGCTTCTAGACAACTCCAAATTTTCTTCTACAGGGAAACCTGTGCCTCAAAACACATGCTTTACTTGGAAACAAGACTTGAGGGCATTTTACCGCACCTAAAGGGGACCCTGGTCACCTCAGATCTCTAAACCCTTTCAAGGAGCTACCACTTGCTCCTTTGATCAAACAATAGCATTAGAAAAGGCATATAGTACAAAGTAAACTATATAGGAAGGAAAACCCTTGAGAAAACATTCTTCTTATAGTTTTCTTTCCTACTATAATTTTCTTTTTGAGAAACATTTCCAGTGATGAAGAAAGCAAACACTATTTAACAACAGCACATAGATCAACTTAAGAAAGGTTTCAAATCCTCACTCCATTGAATCTTTAGCTTTCAGAGCTTTTGTCTTGTTTATTGTTTTACATCTCTTGTGGTTTTAGAGCCTCTCCTTCCATCTCATCTTCCCAACCTTTACACAATTTGCATAAGCAAAACTCAAAGTACTGTAACTGATATTAGAAAAATTCTCCTTGTGTTTTGTGAAGACATAGTGTGCTGAAATCAATAAGACTGTTTAAAATTCAAAGACCTGCAAATCGTTCTGTTTGTCCTTTGATAGGGCCTGTGCTGATTAAAATGCTACCAAGAAAGCTTAATTGCTGCACTAATTAAGAAGTCTTTAATTTCTTTCCTAGGATATCGTTTGAAGCTTAGCTTGTACCAGTTCAGGGAAGGTATTTTCTTCCCTCCTTCTGTCCTCTTCTGGCCCCTCCCCTCCCCTCCCCCACCCCCAGCCCCGATTTGATGAGATCAGTAAGAATGCAAACTGAGAGAGAGAGGTCTCAGGTCTCATCATCTACTACTTAACAAAAATCGGCGCAGGATATAGAGTTCAGTGCAGTATGAAATGCAGTTTTGAGAAGAGCTGTAAGGTTTCAGGAGACAGTGAGAAAATACAAAGTAGTTGTTGCAGCTGAAGTCCCGGTGAATACCTGGATGACAACAGGCACTTTAGCGATGATGAGGGCATCCTATTTGGTTAAAAGGGGCAGTGACAAGGAAATGCACAGGGACACATAAAACATACTTTCACAACCTGTGGTTTACAGAAGGAAGAATAAATGTGTAAAAAAAGGACAAATAGTTGGGATTGGTAAGTATGATTTTATGGTGTATAAAAGGATGAAATCTGTGGGTATTTATTTTTTCCCATTTGACAACTCAAGGAGTCACAGAACTGTAGTACATCTTTCCAAGCTTTTCTATTGACCTATTTTATTCACTGATTTCTTAAGTGGGGAAACCGACTAAATGATTTCACAAAGCTTTGTCTGTGATCAATAGTCAATTTTTAGGTTTATTCATGCTGCATTATAATTCTGGCAAATGATTGCAAAGCAGAGGATTGTAAGAAAGATACAAATATTGACAAATCTAGGATAAGCCATGTCTTCACATCTTCAGAGTTTCAATATAGCAACTGGTATAGATTTAAAAAAAAAAAAAAACAGGAAAATTCACCATGTCACACAACATAAAAACAAAACATTGAATAACTGAAAGGCAATGTATATCTATAACTGAATATGTCCCTTTAATATCTCAAAATTTCCTGAAAGCATTGGACTGATTATTTTTAAAGCTATTTCTAAGTGAAACAGTAGCAGTTTAGGCATATATAAAAGGATACATATACAAAACAGACAGCATGAAAACCTTCATAACAATTTTATTATTTCAATTTTTCCCAAATTCTATTAAGAGCATGTATTTTAAAAATTATAGATGTGTACTCTAGATCTATACTGAATTCCTTTCAGTGACAGGACAAGGAGAAAACATGCTTAATAGATTCAAAGGCAGATTTACCATTCCAAGCACGACGTCACTCTAATTATGTTTACTCTAATTGAAAGCAAGGTTTTTTGGAATCTGAAATTACTTTGAGAATTTTTTTTAAATAATGCAAGTGGATCAAATGTTGATCACTAGCATTTCAATCTTTCAAAATGTATTGGAAAATTAAATGAAAAGTAGAGTTTGGTACAAACAATGCCCCAGGGCAAAAAACAACTAACACTAGATTTTCCAGTCCAGCCATAACACAAATCAATTTGAGCACACTTCTATGGCCAGACTGCCAGATTGTTATGACTGCTAATTCACTCAATCAAAGAGTGCATTAGCACACCCGGCACAAATAGCCCTAACAATGGAGAGCGTTTCTCAACAATTCCGAGACACATCACAATGGAGAAGCAAAGAAGATCATTTTTACATCTGCATGTTTACTAATGGACCTGTTTCCTTAATAGAAATAAAAAAGACTAAAATTAACTTCAGGGGTAGGATTATTAAAGAGCTATCAGAATTTGGCAAATCTTGGAAGATACCAGGGTATCAGTAGTTCACTGACTTTGTTAAACATTTCTCAGGAGAGAGTCCAAAATTGATGTTTGCACTTCAGTAGTAAATCATTGAAGATGGAGAAATTATGCCAAGTAGCTCTCTCAAGCCTTTTTAACTCAGACACAGGGCCTCACCAATCAGCCCAGCAGATAAACCTCGACTACCTTAAGCACAGACTTCCAAAGTTGTTTGCTTTCAGCCTCTGTCCTCCCCATTTTTATCCCACTGCCTGACTTTTGGTGGCTTTCACTTCTATAGTTGCTCTGCCTGTGCTAATTCCCTGTTTCTGCTTAAGAACAAGGAACAAGACTCTTATCTCGCTGATGCATTCTCTAATCAAAAGCAGAGAGCTTGCTGATGAATTACCCAAAGGACAGAAGGTGGGGAGCTGAAGAGTAACATACTCTAACTCGAAGCACTCCAACTTTATATTACCAATTTTGATCCTTAATAATGAAGTACTTAAAATGATTAAAAGTATCATTCTTTTTTTCTTTTTTACAGCAGGGAAGTGCAGATATACTGCAAATGCTTCTTGAATGTACACGGTAATTATCTGTGCACATTTATGTAGATGCAATTCCAAAAGGTGCAGTGTGAGAGCACTGTTCTCCCCTCCCTACCGTCATGCCCTTTCTGCTGGTTCACAATAAAGGTCACATGTGGCAGAAAATTTTT